AAATATTCTTCTCTTATGAAACTATTACGCATCACTGCAACATGTGGCAGATTTATCTCATGTTTGCGTAAGGTACCACAATCTTCTCCATCTAATTATCCATTGACCCCGATAGAGATTCATCGAAGTCGTGATTTGTGGGTGAAGATCATACAGCAAGCATGGTTTCGCGAAGAGATACGGCTCATCCTACGAGAAGAACAACTGCCGAAATCCAATTTCCTGGTGCGACTTACGCCATTTATAGATAAGGATGGATTATTACGAGTCGGTGGGCGTCTCCATTACGCTCAGATCGATATCGAAGCTAAACATCAGCTCATTCTACCTAGAAGGTCGCCACTAACGACACTCGTCATCGGTGATGCTCACCGGAGATCGCTCCACGGGGGCACTCAAGTTACCCTAAGCCTCTTGCGCGAAATCTTTTGGATTATTGGTGGAAGAGCGCCTGTAAGATCTTACATACTGAGATGCGGACGTTGCGCTCGCTATCGCGGCATTCGAGCAAGGCAGCTTATGGGTCAATTACCAACGGCCAGAGTGACTTCAGCGAGGCCTTTCTACAATTCAGGTCTTGACTACGCCGGTCCCGTGACGCTGAGAACTTGGAGAGGGCGGGCGGCGCGGTCCTATAAAGGCTACTTCGCCATCTTCGTTTGTCTCACTACATCGGCTGTGCATATCGAAGTAGTCACGGATTATACTACGGATGCGTTTATTGCTGCCTATAAACGGTTCGCTGGAAGAAGAGGCATATGCGCAACACTGCAAAGCGACTGTGGTACGAATTTCGTGGGAGCGGACGTAGAGTTAAAACGCTTATTTGCACAATCTTCCAAGGAGCTTGGCAGCCTCGCCTCGCTTCTAGCCAACGACCGTACCGAGTGGAGGTTCAACCCTCCATCAGCTCCACACTTTGGAGGAAAATGGGAGGCTGCTGTAAAATCCGTGAAGTTCCATCTGCGACGTGTACTGGGAGACACCGCCGTAACGTATGAGGAGATGACTACCATCACCACTCAGATTGAAGCGGTATTAAATTCTCGGCCGCTCTGTCCGCTATCTGACGATGTCTCGGATTATTCTGCTCTAACACCTGGGCATTTCCTGATTGGAGAGGCGCCGACTGCCATCCCGGAGCCTAACCTCTCCACTGAGTCCATGCCTCGGTTCACGCGTTGGCAACTACTTGGCCAGAGGGTAGAGCAATTCTGGTCGAGATGGTCTTCGGAATGCCTACAGCGCTATCAGGCCATTTCTAAATGGCATCACCCTGCGAA